AGAGAGAGAGAGAGAGAAGAAGGATGAACGAAAAACGCAAGGGAAGCTATTCGTCACCCTCGAATTTTTCTGTCTCGAAATAAATACCGTTGTCTTTTGATTGTCGTTTTAAATGGACAAAAAAACCATAAACTATGAATGATTTTGTAACCTAAGGAAATATAAGTTGCTCTTAAATCTGACACGGACATGACTTCTTTCACCCGCAATTTTCTCGATGACACGCTTACGTTACTCACTACGAGCCTTCTTCATTTCATCCAATCGTCTCTGTTCGCAATTCCGTTCCTTTCTTTCACTTTTTCTTTTTCTTTTTTTTTTTTTTTTTTTTCTTTAAATCGAATTATCAAGACGAAAAAAACAAACACTTCCTTTTTTTGACGATCGAGAAAAGAGATACGATTCATTCGATTTCTCTTGTATTTCGTTCGACACGTGTTTAATAACGGTGCAATCTGATATCATGATGTAAATCATTGTAATGTGATACGCGATGTAATGCTGAATTTAATAGAACAAGCAGATCGGGAACTATCGGAACCAATTTTGATAGATATCGGCGGTGGTTTATCACTAAAAGAAACATCGATAAACATCGATTCCGTTGAACGTTTATATATATATATATATATATATATTTTTTTTTTATACAAAATTTTCATTCTAGAATCTATTTATTTAACATTATATTTTTTTCGTTGAAAAGAATTTTCTCCGCATGTTCTCGTATGTACACGATCAATTCAACGTCGATCCAAGTTCCATTCAATATTTTAATCGAATCAAGTTTCCGATTTAAGTGTTTCTCTCAGTGTCCGACCCCCACCGATGTTGCTTATATAATTAGATTTTGTCTGAAAACGAGTTCAGTATTGGTGTGTTTTAGCACCAATGGAACCAAAAGGAATGACAGGAAAGCTTGAAGGATTATGAGGGAATGAAACGGCGTTCTTTTCAAGAACAAAGTTATTACGTTCTGGTGTTCTTCTCTATCATTCATAACTTTCTTCGTGATTCTCATTCTATCGTGATAAAATTAAACGTATGTCGCTAAGAAAAAGAAAAAAAAAAAAATAAAAAATAAAAAAAAGAGAGAGAGCGAAACAAACAGAGAGCTTCGTTGAACAATGCCTAGCTATCATCGTCGAAATTAATAATTGTTGAACGAACCGAGAGGAAAGTCTGATGGAAGTGTGTTTAACATCTGTTTAATCAGATCGAGACGGGATTAAAGGGTTGAAGAGATACGAGAGAGCGAGATAGGTAAAGAGAATGAAAGTGAGGTCTGTCGAAATGAAGTATGGAAGGAAAAAAAAAAAGGAGCAAAAAAAAAATAAATAAATAAATAAATAATAATAATAATAATAATAATAATAATAATAATAATAATGAAAAACATGAATTATAATAGAGTAATGTATTTTATGACGGGTTTTAATAGCGGTATTAATACGATATTAATAGCGATATTTAGCCGTAACTGATAATAAAGACACTATTTGAATGTGAAATTATTAGACGATAATGAGACACAGGATGTAACACACAGTGGTATAAACTGTATGGTAAAACTACTATAAGATTAATAAACGATTAGGCATTAGATCGTCGAAATGGGAAAGAAAATGGACGAGAACAAGTAAGATATTAAGATAACGAGGGGAAGAGAAAAACGAATATTGAAACGAATAATGAAAATCCAAGGACTTTTTTTTACCAAAGAATTTTTTCACAAAGAGATTTCGATACACGCGTGCACGCGTTTTCCTTCACTTGTTTCTGTTTTATTATATATACGTACAATGGGATTAAATCACTCGAGCGAGAATTCCGATTCGACTTGAACACGAAATTTAATCCTTATGCCAATAAAATACGATAATAACTTAGCATCGCGTACCATTATTAGAAAGAAGAAGGGAAGAACATTTATAAATAAACCCCGTAAACTTCGATGCAATTAAGGTACTATATCTCCTAATTTTCTCTTTTCTGAAAAAAAAGTCAAGTGATCGGGGAGTTTGTTAGCAAGGGATTAAACTTCGATGATTCTCGCCAAAGTTTTTGATGCTTCCAGTAATTATGGAACGATTCCAGAATAAAAATACTGTCGAATTTACGGGAACGTTCTCCGCTAAAGAACAAATTTAAATATAAATGTTAAATGTAATATCATCGAACATTCCGCAAGATGGACTGCATGAAATCATACGTGATAATAATTTGCGAACGTATATAAGATATATGTATTGTAGCGATTAAATGTCGCCAGAGATGGAATTATAAGAAAAAAAAAAAAAAAAAAAAAAGGGGGAATACCAAAAATTCGTACGCTTTACATCCAGCGGTGAACGCGAGAATCGTGATAGATCGATTATCGATGGGACGATTTACAATTTAAAAAAAAAAAAAAGTATATAGCGATTATTTATTATTAAACAAATGTTTAGGGTGGGATGGAGGGGTGGTCGAGGGAAATCTGTGGGTGTAGACAAAGTAAGACTGATTTGTGAAAGGATTGATTGCTTGATTCGAGTATCGTTTTTCGATCGGTTGATAGTTTATGAACATGGAAATATCATCGTTTATGTTATGTTACAAATTATCCAATTAACGTAAGATTACACAAAAAACATGAAATTTTCTGCTTGAGAAACGATACGTGAATTTAATATAGATGAAATTTAACGACAAAACTTTTACTCAAATAAAATAAAATCTAAAACTGAATCCTGTTTATACTAGGATCGATCGAACAATCTTCGAGTCAAGTTGACGAATAGAAAAACTTCTAAGAAGTGAAAAATCTTTTTACTAAGAACTTCATTCCATGTCTAATATTGCATGGGCTTGTACTATTTTCCAATCGAATGGCTCTCAATTGAGTTGCTGAGTGAATAGAAAACAGAAAATTTTCTAAAAAGAAAAGAGTCCTTTTCTTCTTTTCGAGGAGAAAAGAGAAAATAATAAGAAAAAAAAAAAAAAATACTTTTTTTGCAGAGATGCTATTTTCTCTGCTAGGAAGTTTGGCCTGCGTCTGATCACGCACGGACTATAACTACTGTCGGTCGTGCACAGGCCTAACGTTCACGCATCGACCAAGCATCGGAACACTGAGCTTCTTCCTCTTTCTAATTACCTCGTTAATTGCTAGACACTTGATTATCCACTTCGATAATTCTACGTTAGCGAGCAAGTTATGCTTGTTTTACGTTAGAGAATCGAAATAACCTTTATATGTATATCGTTGATCACTTCGATCGCGAATGACACGAACATTCACGTTCATTGTTAAATAACGACTGGTGCTTTGATCGCAGCATATCGAGACTAGAATCGAGAAGGCAATTGGGGGAAAAAAAAGAAGAGAGAGAGAGAGAGAAAAAATAGGAATCAAAAGGTTTCTTTTCAAGCTTTCACAAGTTTGTGGGTGACAGTCGTCGTAGAGAATATTTTCTTTCGTAACGTTCAATCTTTATAATAAAGAGCATCTATGATCATCACCGGACTCCTGATGAAATTATTCCACGAAGAATCAATTTCGCAGGCTGTCATCACCGCGAAGGATACCGTGTAATCACTGTTACCATCGATCCATCGTATATCGATATATCGACATGTTTTTGAATCCGATCGATACGTCGATCTAACGATTGATCGATCTTGTTGGAAACGTTGCGCCAGCAAATCATTTAACCTCTTAAAGAGTAGAATCTTCAATTAACTAAGCGCTCTCGAATTATAAAATGGATGATTTGTTTGTCGAGTGTTTCGCGGGATATACTTTCTTCGTATACCTTCTCTAATAGGGCCGAGCATGGTTTTATTTAAAGTTCGTCTAGGTGCGAAACGTTGAATAAATCTAAAACCTATATAAGTATAATCTGTATTTAATTATCGTCATTTATCATATTACTGTGTACTTATCGCATGATTATTACTTACATGTATTATTTATACAACTACAGGTAGAAATTCCCATTATGAAGTATTATGTGGAGGTTAGATATATCTATATATACATTATATTATATTATATTATATTATATTACATTATATTATATTGTATTTACATTATATTATATTATACACATATATTTCTCACGTGGAAATTTTTCAAGCATCTCAATACAACACCGCGACGGCTATTGTTGTGCAATAAGTATATATGGGCGTGCTTTTTAAGAGGTTAATCGGGATACCGATTTAATATTACGTAGTACAGAGCAAAAAAGCTTCCTCTACATATACATATACAACACGTACATATACATACATACATACATACGTATACATTACATACACACATATGCGCATACGCGAGTCCGTCTGTAATAGTTTCAAGTTTCAAAACCTCGAATTACAATTAAAATTAGTATAGTATTATGATAATTTGTGACATTGTGCTCTATTATTATCTAGATATATTCGTTTAAATGTTTATGCGTATATTTAAAAAAGTCGAGTATTATGCGTAAGTAGTTTGATTGTATGTTCTTGTATGTACTTTTTCCATTTAATTCTATGTTATAACTATATAATATTGATCTTTTCGTCTTTGCGTACGTGTAATCATGATTTATCAAATGCGAATTCGAGGTTTATTCGATCTAAGGAAAAAGAAAGGGGAAAAAAAAAAAAAAAAAAAAAAAAAAGAAAAAAAAAAATGTAACCGGCCAAGCGAAGCAAATTGAAACACACAAACTTCCTTCATCGATGAATACACGTATACGTATCTTACGTGCGGATGATCGATCCGCATAAGGGAACAGAATTCATTTTTCCGAGGAAACAACGATGGGATGTTCGTTCCTAATGGGTTCCGTCGAGCATTCTTCGTCGTCGCCTCACAAAATCACTTTAGGGCAACGAACTAGAAATGTGTTGAATATTTACACGAATTTACAAGAATCTTACTAATGTACTTTTTCTATAATCATACGCGAGACAGAAATTACAAATATGCACATGTAGGTGCGTATCACGATACATACATACATACATACACACACACACACACACATATACACGTTACAAGCATACAAATTTATAAACTCTTGTATCTTTAACATCTAATGAAATGGAGGAACGGAAAGATTATATTGGATGTACTACAAATCCGCGTACAATCAAAGCACACAAAATACATGATTACAAGCACCCACACGTACAAGAAAAGAAGACCATTCACGCACACTGTGGCACATAACAGACACAAGTATGACTTAAAAGGGAAAAAAAAAAAAAAAAAAAAAAAAAAAACAAAGACAGCAACATTTTCGAAAACACGTGCGCGCCATCACAATTGTTGATATAAATTGCGATCCATGATTATTACTATTTACGATATAATTATTATCTTGCATTGTCTAGTCATACGTTATTATTGTATAACTAACAATATTAATTATTAATTAATCTGTACTACCTAGTCGCATTATGTGTTGCATAAAAAAAACTATGAAAATTCCGAAGGCGAAATAAGAGAGAGAGAGAGAGAGAGAGAGAGAGAGAATGGAAGTGTGAAAGAAAAAAAACGTAAAAGAGAGAAAGGGAGAGAGAGCGTAAAAGAAAACAAGAGAGCAAGAGAGAAAAGAGAGAATGAGCGCGAGGGTGAATGATGTTAGAGAAAAGATGAGAAAAGTTGGTATTGGTGAAATTTCAGTAATTATATTATGAAGAACGATTATGATAAATGACAGATGATCAATTGAAGCGATGATTACGGTTGTGATCGTAACCAATGATGAATAAGGTAACAACGGTAGGCGCAATATGTTCCCAAAAAAGGAGAGAAAAAAAAAAACGATTTAGAATATAAAGAGAAAGAGAGAGAATGTGAGAAGAGAGAAAAAAAGAGAGAGAAAGAGAGAATGAAACAAAGGCACTTTGTTGCAGCCGTGATAACGCTCGTCGATCGAGAATAAAGATCAAGTTTGACTAATTGTGATGATAATCTCGGACGAAGTTATTTATTTTGAGGATAAGGAGAGAGCTAGTGAGATAAAAACTTAAGGGTGCTTTGAAATGTTTCACGTTAAACGCGAATGTTTTTAATCACGATTTGATGATCGATGATGTTTAAGAAACGATCAGTTGATTCTTAGAAAGTAAATTTTGAGAGCTACATATAATTAAACACTTCGCGGGCAAGCAAGCGCTAAATATTGAATATATACGTATGACTATAAAAGTACGAGATTCGTATCATCTTGAAAAATTAATTTAAAGAACTGTCACCGAAGTGTTATGTCATATCCGCCCAAAAACCCGTCAATCCAATCAGAAAGTAATATCGTCGTACATGTTGAAAAATTTGAGAAATAAGTACTTTAAGATACTTTCTGAACTCATCGTTTCTTCGATCGATGAATCAAATGGATAAATAATCGATCAAATCGGGCGATCATGGTTGCCGGAGGCCGCCTGCTTAGTTAAGGAACAGAAAGTGAAAATGATGATGATGACGATGGTAATGATGATGAATTAAAAAAAAAAAGAAAAAAAAAAAGAATAATAACTGTCACGACACGCACGTGCGCGTCGCGCGCCAAAATCGTGACGCGTCCGTGCGTACTGGTAGCAGAAAAAAGAACAAAACGAGTATTAAATATATGCGGGGGCCGTGGAGAGGAGGGAACCTTCCTTTACTCAAAAGAAATTTCGGTGGATTGTCTTGTCAATTCACTGACTTTTCCCTGTTGCCAGGTAAGCGAAAAAAACAGCGGAAATATGTAAGATCTTCATATGTATACCTCATATCCTCGGTTTTTTGGTGCATAGCAAGCACATTTTCGTCAGAACAAATGGAAAAAAAAGTTCTCAAGATATCTTAAACGTGCGTTGTCTCTCCTTCCTATGAATTATACCCTCCTCCCTCCCTCCCTCCCTCCCACCCGAGGAGAGCTCGCGGGCCCTATATTGCAATATTTGTACTTTTCCATGTTGAAACCTCGATATACAATAAATTATATTAACAAACTTGGATTCTTGATTCTCTTTTGATCAATCATCTGTTTCTTTTCATCTTTTTATTTTATTATTTATTTAAAAGGTTGAGGATACATAAAAATGATTACATAAAAATTAATCGAGAATGATTTATTTATGAGTTGTAGTATTTATCATAAAATGTTCTTGTATATTTAATATTTAATCGTTAAATCAAAATTATTATTTTAAGAAAAAAAATATACAAAAATGATAGCATGCTTTTTATAATAATTACAATAGCGTCATATATAACGAGATTCTATATTAAATAATTTCTAATCCAATAAGGACATCGATCGATTCATGAATTTTACATTCCCGTTATATCATGAATGCTATATATAATTTTTCAAACAATGAAAAAATTATGGACAGAAAAATATTGATATTTAAATAAATAAAAAATAGATCATTTATAACATAATTTTTCATATAACATGTCACATCTATAGCGTGATAACTATTTAAAGATATCTTATTTTTTATGGGAACCTTGTTTCTTTGGAGCGAATTCTAATCCTCTTATATAATTTTTTTAATTTGGTATTTCTCTGAAAAATTAATATTCATTTCAAAAGATATAGAAATATTTTTTAATATCTTATAAAATATCGATTTTACTACTTGCCTGTAAGTAATTTGTAGACATATAAAATTTGATTTCCTTGAACTAGGACACTAGGAGTTTTTTTTCCTGGTTCATCCGTAATTGTTGCACTCGCTCCAATATTCTGACATTCTTTGCTAAATTCTTTAGCATTTATGCCAAATGTTTCCAAATTATTTACTAACGTTACCTATATAAACATTAAATAAATAATTAACAACATTACATCTACATTAATTAATTTTATATGTTAATTTTTAAAAAATCAATTACTATACCTTTTTACCACCGGATCGAACAGTGACTCTCATATCAATAGGTTCCAATTTACCCGTGTGTAACAATTTATTTCCTGCTAAAGTAACTTCATGCATATGCGTCATACGTCCGATAAACTTGTTTATTCCATCCTCCATCATTACAGTTTCCACATTCGCTTTAGTTTTCATAATACCTGCGAGTTGCGGGTTCAGTTTCAGTATCCTATACAAACAAAATTATCATTAAACAAAATTATAATAAAATATATATTTCATCATTAATTTTTTACCTTCCATCTTGAAGATTCTCTGCTTTCACGTATTCAGTAAAACATTTTCTGATCTCAGCTCTTTTCATAATGTCTCCTTTTCTGCAATCATTGTATGGGAGTAAAATATACATAATTCGTATCATATAATACAGCATAATGGTATATGATGTAACAGTTGTCGACTTCTGCTCTGCACAGAAAATCAATCTTTTTGCATTTATTGTATCGCGGCAACGTGACACATCCCGAGTGTAGCACTATATACTCACTCATATCCAAATTTTGATAGTACTGGTAAAACATCGGCAGTCACTTTATAACATTCAGAGACAACTGCCGCATTGGAAACAATTGGCTCCTGGGTTGATGTAGGTTCCTCTATAATGACTAATTCTTTTAGAAGAGGATGATCAAACTATAAAAAGATGATATTACAATTTCTGAATGCAAAAATTTATTCTATAAAATTTTAATCAAAATCTTACCTTAATTGATAATATACTTTCAACACCTTTAACAACAGAGGTATTAATAACTCCTTTTGTTTTCATTTCTGCTAAAAACAAGGATAATTTTTTATACCGAGTTTTTTTTATATCTATGTTTTTATTTGATGGACATGCAGCTATTAAATGGTTTTTAAAGAAATTGGATGTTAATATTGGTAAATCACTAGGTTTTACTGAAGTTTTGCAAGCTTTTAAGAAGCAATATTCAAGCAAATTATCCATTTCTTTTATTGGATCCATAGTCATTTCTATTTCATCAGTAGCTATAGTTTTAATTTTAGCAGATTCTTCCATTTTGTTTTCTTCCTCATAAGGAGTTTCAGTTTCTGATATTAGATCGTTATTCATATCTAAATTATTCATTGTCTCAATAAGTGATTCTTCATTATTCTCATTTTTCTGATCAGTTATTTCATCTATATTTTTTATCTTATCACTATCAATATCAATATTTGGTGGCCCTAAATTTGGCCTCAAAGGAGGCTTCCCAAGTTGACACAATGTATCACCTATTACATGCAGAATTTCTACACATTTTCCATGACCTCCAGACATATACATATCTTCACTAGAAAGTGCAGTAAAACCAACAGCAACTGGTGCCTACATTAAAAAAAAAAATTAAAATTATATATCAAACTATAATATGATACACTAAAGAAAAATAAACTTATATAATATTATACCTTATTATCCTCTGTATTTATTGAAACAGGTGTACCCTTTTGTAATTTGCCAAAAGAATATAATGTCACAGGTTCTTTCAAATAGACACCAGGCAACATTAAATCTGCACCACCTATTAATTTTGATATAACTGGAGGATATGTTGTAAAAGTTTTTAATAAATTTGGATGATGCCATAAAGTATATACGGTAGGTAATAATGCTTGATGTAAAGATTCAAGTTCAAAAAACATAGGTATTTTAGCTACACAATAAATTTTTCCTAAATGACCATTGTGAGTTACAATTTTCATAACACTTATTGCCTCTTTTTTAGGAATTAACGTTTGTGTCTCTTCATCTGTCAATGTGGGATATACTGCTAAAATTTCTTCACATAATTTTTTCCTAATTAAAGACAATAATAATATATATGTAATATAATATAAATTGTTGAGAATATAAATTAAATTATACTAACCTTTCTGTTCCTTTCAATTGATTGTTAGATTTTACTTTAAACGATTTTATAAACATTTTGATTTCATACAAAATATAAAAACAAAGTTTGTTCAGCAAAGTCTTTAACAAAACTGTACGGATAAAAATTTGACTATACTCAAGATTACACAGGTTATCCAACCCTTCATCCCATTATTTAATCGTTGCAAATTTAATCAAGGTAAGTAACTAAAATTTATTACGATGGATATAATTCTCATGAAATATGCATACAATAATTGAAAAATAAACATAAATGTACAAAAAATTAATTAACAAAAGAATGTATAATAAATTTAGAATTGATAAAAGGGTTAACAATTTTTCCAATATATTTATTAAAGATTCTTCTTTTGTTGTACATTCATATCATCACGATTCGACTAAAAGCGATGTTACCAAATGCAATACTTCAGTCTAAAGTATTACTAGTGTATTTGTAGATTACATATTTTAGATAAATATTTATCTAGAAAAAAATGTTATATCAATTAATTCAAAAAAGAATAAATGAATTTATTCAAGAAAATTTATGATAAAAAAATGAAATATATATGATGCACGATAATGATAGTTGTATTGTAAAGTATCCTGTGTCCTCTTACGGCACATAGGAAAAACACGATAAAATCCACTGTGTGATCTATAGGTCACTATAACCTCAAAAAATTGCATTATGCATAATCAATCAGTGAGAAGTAACCTTTGAACATAATATAAGTTTAAAGTATTATCATCGTATTCTTATTTATTTATTGCCACTATTAGAATGGCAATTATGAAAATATTATTACGACCAGACATCGTAAGATTCACGGGGGTCAGAGTGAGTTACATTTCACACGCCATTGTTATATTTGATTCTAGTTACTGTACATCAAAGTAGATTCGTTATTCACTTTTTTTTTGTTATGACGTAGATTAAATTAAATTCACTATAAATTGAAAATATAATAATGATTCATTCATTCGCAATTAATTGATATTGTGACAAGATTTTTATTTATCGTTAATTTCATTTCTCTCGAACTATTCGAATACTATTTGTTATTTAAAAAATATTTAAAATTAATTCTTTTTGATTAAAATTTGAATTTTTAAATAAACTACTTGTTCATAAATACAAATTATCAAATTTAATGCAAATTTTTATTATTTTAATTAAAAAATTTTGAAATTGTATTTTTTATATTCATTTTTCAATATTATGCAAAAATTTATAATTTATAAATTTTAAATATTTTAAAAATTGATAAAAACAAATGATGCAAAATTTGTCAAACATTGCATTATGCATTAGTATAAAAATATACTATATAACATTCATAACATAACAGTATATTTTTATATCTTGTTTCAAGGTCTATATAGCTGTATCAATATCTTGCTCCAAAAATATGAAGTAACTCTATAACTCTTTATAAAACATGTAAACAATAATAATTTATATATTATTATTTAATAATATAATTATAAAATATAAATTAATATATAATATTTTAAAGAAAATTAATTATTTTAAAGACATAATAACATAATAAACATTTATTATAAAATTTTATTTTATTTTTTATTTTATATAAGAATTATATTTTTTTTCAGCATCTAAGTATTAAACCAAAATTTGGTTTACTTTTTGATATTGATGGTGTATTAGTACGTGGCAAAAAAGTATTACCACCTGTATCAGAAGCTTTTAAACAACTGCAAGGAAAAGATGGCAAATTCCGTGTACCAACTGTATTTGTTACTAACAGTGGAAACGCATTGCGTAGTCAAAAGGCAGCAGATTTATCTAAATGGATAGGATTTGAAGTAAAAGAATCACAAGTTGTTATGGCTCATTCACCATTAAAATTATTTAATCAATTTCATAATAAACAAGTACTAATATCTGGTCAAGGACCAATCAAAGAATAGCTAAGGAATTGGGTTTTCAAAAAACAATAACTATTCAAGAATTAGTGCAAAATTTTCCTTGTTTAGATTATGTAAATATGGAAAAGAGAAATCCAATATGTGGTCCTGTGGATCCCAAGTTTCCTAGAATAGAAGCCATTGTATTATTTAGTGAACCCGTTTCTTGGGAAACCCCATTACAACTTATAATAGATCTTTTAATGACTAATGGCATGCCTACTGGTTTGCTTGACGATATTCCATATCCACACATTCCAATCTTGGCATGTAATATGGATTTATTATGGGTATCAGAAGCACCGATTCCTAGATATGGTCATGGTACTTTTCTACTTTGTTTAGAATCATTATATAAAAAGATTACAGGAAAAGATATGATATATTCTGCTCTAATCGGAAAACCTAGTGAAGTAACATATTATCATGCAAATTATATGCTTCATGAACATGCTAAAAGTATTGGTATAGATAATGTTAACACCATATATGCTATTGGGTAATTAATCCATTGAAGATATTAAAAAACTAACAAAATTTTAAGAATTAAAATGAACATATAATTAAATTAAATTTGTATTTTATAGAGATAACATCAACACTGATATTTTTGGTGCAAATTTGTACGATAAATATTTATCTTATTGTGCAAAAGAGGATGCATTAAAATCTGATAAATTGAAGAAATTACTTGACAAGGATATCAAACCACCCAATGCAAAAGCTTGTATTAGTATTTTAGTTGAAACTGGTGTTCATCAACGAGATTCTGATTTTATATCTGAGCATAGTCCTAGAGACTTCTTACCAGTTGAAGATGGTCTTGGCAAGCCTGCATTCATAGTAAAACACGTTGGCGAAGCTATTAACGTCGCGTTTAAGGAAGAAAAATTTGACTGAATTGATATAATGCTATAGAACATCTTTTTAGACTTGGACTGTTCATCCTAATATTGATTAAGATAAAAAGAAGAGATGTAAGAAATTATATATATCATTGCTAAATATCACGTAAGTATCATGTTAATTCGATAGCCTTTTTTTGGAGGCAAGAACATTGAAAAATAGGATTACTGTAACTAATTGCTTAAGATACTTTATTTGGCGCTTTTTTTTTTTAATCATTTTCATTAATATTTTTATTTGATATTTTATTAAAGAAGAAAAAGAAAATATTATATTTACAGTAATCTTTACTAATCAATTAAGAAATTATCATTGCAAGTCAATGATATTAGCAGACAGTACAACAATTTATATTAGAAATATTGAATACATTAAAAATGGTCTTTCAATCTATATAGATTTTTATGTATATTTGAAATTTTTATTATTTATGTTATACATGTGTAATATTTAGAAAATTTTTTGAAGATAATATATGTACATATATTCATTTATATATAGAATAGATATATACATTCGTATAATTTTAAATTCAAGATTTATTATGATGACATTATACAATGTAATGATTAAATTTTAATGTCTCGTTTAATTTTATCATATTGTGACGGTAGATCATACGAATTAAAAATTTAGTTTCAATTTGAAAAAAATGAATTAAAAAATGAAAAAGAAAAAACAATATAAACTATATGCAATTGTTTCGATTAAGAAAAATTGTAATCTAACAGTAGATGTATTACAAATGCATTATTTTTAGCGTTTATTGGCTAATATCGCTTTATACACAAGATTTCGTCTAGTCGCAGTTTCATTATATGTAGCAATGTTATTATATATAGCAATTCGTAATTCTTATCAATGCAAAAAATATGCAATTGTTAAATTTTAGATAATTTTACTTTGTCAATCTTTATTTTTGTACATGTAATCATTGAAAGAATAAGAAAGAATACAACACTGGATGCATCAAACAAATTATAAAAAATAATATAAACCGATATTACACAAGAATATTTGCCACAGCTGATGGTAAAAAAAAGACAAAATAGACGTCAGCTGAGATGAAGACTGACATCTATGTAGAATCAAATCAATAATAAATATTTACTGGTATCAGTGTTATAATTTGCGTTAATATTAATAAATTAAAAGAAGAGAATAAGAAAATAATCATTGTTCTTGTTTCTTTTTCGAAATAAAATAAAATATTATTTAAAATTGTGTGAAAGAATAGGGTTTTGTGATGCCTGTATAGATAATAAAGAATAATTATACACAGTTATACATATATACGTAATATGTGTAGTGTTGCATACTAAGATTGAAAGCAATACAAGAGTTACATTGTTTTTTTCTTTTTTTTTTTTTTTTTTTTTTTTTTAGTTTATAATTTTACAAGCGCCTGATACATATTATATCCATAAAAAAACTTATGTGACTTTCATGGAATTAATTAGAATTTACATATTTTGTATTATCTTCCATGTATTATCTTTCATCCTTTTATTTATTCTATGAAAGTTACAAAGTGTGCCAAAAAACATTTTTTTTTAATTTTCTTTTTCTGGAAGAAAGTTAAAGAAAAGTAATATTTCGAAAATTTGTTTTCTTCTCAAAGACAATTTTCGAAAATCGCATGTGGATATATCACATATTAAGAGATATAAAACATGCATAAAAATCTTGATTATTTTATTTTATTTTAAACAAATTTTAACATATGTAATCTAGTCTAGTTAAATGAATAATTTTTTTTTCTTTGCACACGAATTGTGAAATGTATATTTTCTTTCAATTTTCAAATCATGAATAAAAAAAATAATCGCTAATATTTTATTAAAGTAAGCAAAAGAAAAAACAATAAAAACACATTTGATTTATTTTTGTTATAAGCAACTTTGACTGTATTCAAACGACTAATGGAACATTCATTTTAATTGTAATATATTTTCGTAACAAAAGCGATTTATATAATTTATCAGGCTGCTGAAATTTCAATTATTATTATTAAAATAAGGGCATTTATTAATTAAATCCCTTTTGCTTATCATAACAAGTTTTAATTGTAGAAACTAGGTACAATAAAATATACAATATATTTTTTGTTAACAAATTATCTTTTAGATCTTGTAATTAACAATATAATTTTGTCGAACGAAAATGTATTTTCCTCTCGCGTTAATATTCATCATATACTTTCTCTGCTATTTCTCCAACGGAGGATTGGTAAGTAATAAAAAAACGTATTGCATAGACGTTACTATTGTAAATTGAACAATGCTTTTTTTTTTTCGTTAATGATGTGCAGAAAATTGAGATGAAATTAGTAATTGCTTTTGATTATGATGGAACGTGCAGAACGTCTGGATCTCATGACCCGTGAATTAAACCGTCAATCGTTTGATGAAATAATTCAATTATATATCGGTTAATAGATCTTCACCAAGAATAAATTTAGTTTCAGGTTGAAGAATCATTGAATATTGATCGATATTTATTGAATGCATATAATTGTGCATGATTATGATTAAAAAAAAAATTATATATATATATATATATATATATATATATATATATGTATTA